GTCATGTTTACCACTTACAGCTACCACTCATTGTCCTCTGAATTCCCCATGGTATGTTTCCTAAGTTCAATTACACTACCAAACAGTGTATTACCTGCAGCTTCCCATCTTTTTCTGATGTTCTCTAATCCGGCCCCCCCTCCTCTCCCAGAAATCACGCTTTCCCGACTTCCCAGAGCTGTCTTCAACGCACGCTGCGAGGCAGCTTGTTTCTGTGGCCTGGATGCATAGTGACAACGTCTTTTACCCTGTTATGGTTTCGAGGAAACCTGCATTACTTCTTCTCAAACAGAATGCTTTTCTTTAACGGACGCTGCCTTCCCTGCCTCCCAGTTCTTTTTTTCTTTTGTTCTTTTTTTCTTTTCTTTTTTTAATCACATATCCAGTTCATGAATTCCTGGCAAATCAAATTACCTTCAGCGAGCACAACAATTGAGACAGTCTTGAAAATAAAGAGTGTTATTAAGGCCTCCAAGTCATTGTGGACCTGCATCAGGTTAAAGGATCAAACTGATTTTCAGACTCGCACTCGCCTTTTCCCAAGCCACCATTAGTTTACTTCCTCGCTGCTAAGTTCTAGTTTTATGTCATTGTACAATTTCCTAAACCTTGTTGACACTTCATTGCTTTAAGTCAGTGAGTCACCACTGAGCACTCAGAGCAAAGAAAGGATCACCAAGGAGATGGACCACATTCTGACCATCACAGGGCTTATCTTCAAGCTGAAGAAAGAAACATATAGAAGTGAAATGATACTCCTCAGACAGGAAGAATTCTACAAGCAAAATTCATTCATGTCTCTTTTCCCATCTCTTCCTTATAATTACCTTATGATATGTCAGGAATGCGTTCCTTCTCTTTTTTTACAGTTAGGACTGACAGCAAGAGAAACCATTCACAACAAATATGTCCTAGAGAAGGTATAACACCCAGACCACCAGACAATTGGTACAGTGCCCATGAACACACATAAAGCAACAAAACAAAAGTAATTTTAAAATATGAATGTACATGTACAGAGTAAAGATAAAATATGGTGAAGATATTCATTAGAGTTGCTTGGGAATACTGTAAGAAGGCTTCCTGTAAGAAGTATGTTCCAGAAAATTGGATATTATATGATAGATAATGAAGAGGCAGCCTAAGGAACTGAACTAAAAATAGAAAGCAAAAAATATATATATAATTATATCAGCAAAGAAACTAGTAGACGTGTGGATAACACTAAATAAATGCTGTAATTAAATAAGACAATATTATAATAACTAAAAAGAGAAAGTTAAAAACAATGTAGAACCAAAGTACAAAACAATGATAATTTTAAAGATGAGAAAATGAACAGAGGTCCTTGACTTATTGAGGAGAAGAGAAAAGACAACAATAAGTCAAATATTGATGTGAAAATACTAATCCTGATGTTAAGAGTAATTAATTAGAAAAACTTCCAAACCAGTGGGGAGACCCAGAAGATTAAATAAAACTTTAATCAACCCAAAAGATAGAAGAAAAGTACAATCAAAAACCCAGAGAAAAGCAAAGAAAAAGCAGTTTAAAATGGAAAATAATATATCCTATAAGTAAATTAAAGTGTAATTCATCTCAGTAAATTTACATAGATAAAATTTGTCAATTAGGAAGATGTTCAAAACTATACACTGTTCCTGAAAAATACAGCTACAGTATAATAATCCAGAATGATAAAAAGTTAAAGGATAAGAATATATATCAAATTGAATTTAGCTTTAATAGTATCAACCAATAGACCTTAAGCAAAAAAAGAAAAGGGAAAAAAATTATTAGGTACAAAGAAACTTAGAAAATAATATTAAGGATACCTCCCAGAACATATAGCAAAAAGATAAAATATTGAGAAATAGGAAAGGGGAACAAAAAGCAAGGAAATTAGAGGACTAGTAGTCCAGTAGGTATAATATCCAAATAAAAGGAATGCTGGAAGAAAAAAATAAACCTGAGAAAAATGGGGAGAAGGTGAAGAACATAAGAAAAAATCAAGACATGCTCTTTCCAGATTGAAAAGGCCACCCAGTCAGTGCTCAAGAAAAACTGATAAAAATGGACCCACACTAAGGCATTTCATGAGTAAGTTACAGACCTCTGGGACAGAAAAGATACACCAAACTTTTAGAAACAGAAAATAGGTCACGTGTAAAGGATCAGAAATCACAATGGCTTTGAGTTGCTTAACAGAATTATTAGAAGGTAGACTGCAGTGGCATTATGACTTTCAAAATTCTGAAGAGAAATTATTTCTAGCCTGGAATATTATAACTAGCCAAACTGTCAATATGATGGGAGGGTAGAAAGAAGAGATATTTGCTCAAGAAAATGATGTTGATAGAATATTGTTTTCATTATTATAATAAGGAGAGATTTCAACAATTGATAGATAAGTGACAAACAAATGATAAAAACAGACAGTTAGCAACTCTCAGGAAAATGGAAAGTACAAAAAGGAAAAATAACCAGAGCATTATAGCTGAAATTTAGCTATAAGTAGCATATTTGTAGTCTTAATGATATAAACACCTAATATTTATTGAGCCAAATGGGTAAATCTATATTGTGAGAAAGGGGTGATGGAAATAGTGCAAGTATACAGTGAGGATTGGGGGTGGGGGGAAGGAGAGGGAGATTAAAACCTCAAATTCCATAGTGAGAAGTCGAAGCCAAGACCTAAAACTGAAAAGCCAAGAGGTAGGTACATAATCCTACTGTTTGGTGACATGGAAGCAAATAATAAAAGAATCCTCCAAACAACTTAAAGTGGCTTTCTCTAGCTTCTGCTCTTTTATAAAAACAAATATTGCCAATTATTCTTCATAGAGGTCATACCAATTTATACTCCCCAGAGCAATGTATGGGCATGCCCACACCATCACTTTATCATCTCAGGTCCCCTGGGAGTGATGCCAAGTCAGGGTTAGAGGTGCATGGATCTCACTGAAATTAATTCCTGGCAAGGATAAAGGGGGAAGGGAGGACCACAGTGCAGTTCTGACACCTGGACAAAGGGGATGAATGATTGGGTAGCAACAGCCTCAGACTACTGTACCCATAAAGGGGAAGTCCGGAGCAAAAACTGCTCAATAGGGAGTTCTACAATGATCAGGAATAGATGAGTTATAATATTACCCCCACGCTTAATCACTGGGGAAATTCCTAGCCTTGGGAAAATGTGGCTGCAGGGTGTGAACCACCAGAGAACAGAAAATGCAGTGGCTGTCCTCAACTGTGCTCAGTGGTGTGTTGGTAAATGATGAATAACTGGTTCTACAGCAAGTTAAAAAAAAGTTCTGTATTTGTAGCATTGCAGCTTTCTGGGCGTAAATACTCCACTCTGGGCAGTTTCCAGCCACCAGAGTTTCAGTGTGATGACTCACCGAATGCTGAGTTTGAAAGCTGCTAACACCTGGCTTTCCCAAACCAGAGCCGGATCCAGCAGGACACCAGCTGTGCTCCACGCAGCAGTTTTCCTGCAGGGAGATCTGAGCAGTGCACCTTCTTAGGCACAGTACTCACCAGCCTCAGCCTCCTCATATGTTAGCAGCCACTTGATCTTAACAACGTGATTACTAAAAATAGTATGTCAGTGGTATTTATCGTTTTACTTTATTTTCCTTCATATGAATGAGGCTGAAGACCTTCTGATGTATTTATGTATTATACCAAATTTATAATTTATTATGTAATGTATTTAATGTATTTTCTTTCCGATGAATTGAGTCAACCCTTTGATTATTTTATTGAAATATTTATGTCTATGTCCTAAATAATTGAAAACTGAATGTATTAATTTTAATGTATTAATCCATTTAGTAAGATTAATATAAATTCTGTTTATTATCCCCTTATCACAAGATTAACTTTTCAAAATCAGTTCCTCACAACCCTTTTCAGAAGGTAAATAGGAAAGAAATAAATGCATTTTTAATTGCTCGATATAGGTAAAATCCCTAATTAGGAAATAAATTACTATGATTCCCTTTTCACCATAATTTTTAAACTAACAATTACATGTACAGTATCAAAATATAATGTCTATATGTAACATTCAGGCAAATAGGTTTTTAAATATACTTAAAGTTGATTGAAAATAGAAAATGTTATGGGGAGGAAAGTCACTGTTTCAATCTACCTCCCAACACACATAGAACAACAACAGCAACAACAACATAGTGGAGAGTTTTCCACTTGATAGTCTTCAAGGACAGACTAGAATCTTCAGGGAAATTAAATTTGAGATATCATTATGAACACATTTTAATAACAGATACATTTTATATTGGCTCATTTATATATTATTAGTTGAGATGACTGGTTGCATTGCATCAGCTTGGTGTACCACGTTGAAATGATCCACTATTAAATTAGAGGCCAAGAAATTCCAGATGAAATCGTTTTAAAATATACCTGTTTTAAGTATTTTTGTTGTGTGGATAATACTGAATTAGCAGAATCTCCAATTAGACAAGATATCAGAAGACATCTAATACAGTCTCTCACTAAAAATAAACTTAGATACATTTACAGTAGAAGCTATAAATAAACCAAAAAGGCAAAAATTCAAGAACTGCCTTGCCACACAAGTTTTCTTCTTATGTTAATCCAACCACTGCTACTATATACATGGTAACAAAAGAACTATGGATGTATGGGGCTTTAAAATGCTACAGTTTTCTAAAGTAAATACATGTATTTAATTAACTTTCAATCAATTATCTAGCTCTTGAACTGTATTTGCCTCCAATGTTGCTGTTTTTCTTCTGCTCCACCTCTTCCAACCACAGCCTCCAATTCTCCCAACCACAACTTCCAACCACAGCCATTTTCCTAGTTGTTAGTCTTTTCGACCAGAAATCAGGTGGGAAAAGAAGGTAAAAATTAATTGATAGCTAAAAATAAGTTTTTATTATCTACAAGTTCCTTTTATCCTAATTTTCTCAAAACATGATCCACAGTGCTGAGAGAGAGAAACTTACCTCATCCACGTTTTCAAAGGCATTGATGATGTCATAAGGTAAACAAGACAACAGATCGATCACAAACCATGTTTTTAAGTAGTTCATCCTTATCAGCTTGGGGTCAGAAATGACCTCTCCACCAGGTCCCACAAAGGTCGTGTGAAAATTTAAAACAATATCAACCAAAAAAATAACGTCCACCACACTGTCCAGCACCAACCAGGCTATGTTGTTCTGCTTCGTTTTGAAGGAAACATTGTACGGAACCATAATGGCGGTGTAGAAGGTAAGAATTAAAATCACCCAATCCCAAGTAGTTTTAAAAGCACAATAGTGTAAAATGATGTGTGGTGGCGTCTTTGGCGCTTCTTGCTTATACTGAGGAAGGATATCTGATCCCAGCTGAAGAACCTAAAAGAGAGAAAATGCACATATAAATAATGTGGACATCTTTGCACAGTCGGTAACGAATTCAAACTGACTGGCAGCCAAACCACAGCCCATTTTCATGACTTCTGGTTTCAAGGCCAGTCACACCCTATAATTCCATCCCCTTCTTCTCCTGAGATTTACCAAAGTTTATTCAAAGGAATTCATCCCAAGTCCAATCCTTCTACCAAAGTTGACCTGACTGCTGCTCCATCCGGCTTTTTCGCCAGTGGCCAATTATTGGTGGATAAATTTGGGCACCATATACAGAGGGTAAGAGACTGAATAAAGAGGCAGACCACTCCAGATGGTAGGTGACAGTTTTAATAAGCAAGGGAACTTCTGCACAAGGCTCATCTTGGGTGCCTGCAGATGAGTAGATCTCTACACATACCTACCAGAATCTTAAAAGTTTACATGTAGACCTGCACTGGGCTCAGTCATGCATGCTGTACTGATGGTCTTAACACAGAACTCTCTCAAGATTATGTCCTTGAAAATGGCTCCCACTGTGGGAAGGGTGGACAATGCATACATTCCAAGGACGGGGGGGCAGGGGGGAGAGACCAATTGCCCAGGTCCAGCTCAAGGGTCAAACAGCGATCACTTCCTCTCAATGGCCTCCTCCAACACCAACAATGACCCATGGCACTGCTGGACATCCACTTCTGGGAGTGCCTTCTGTACACTCACTTGGCAAGCATGCCTGGAATCACATGTGTCTCACTGACTATCCAACAGTTATTTGGGTGACTCACTGTTATTCATTCTTCACACATCTTAAGCACCTCAGGGAGCATAACTTTAATTCTGATGGCCTTGCTGAGTCCTATGTTGGTGATGTTGTTGAGGGGGACCCAGCAAGTGCCCTAATGACTGGCACAGTGATATCAGGGTTAAAAATGTTATAGCCTACCTTTTCCTTTTCTCCCTTAAATCAAGACTTAAAAGAATACTGTGTTTCCTATCCAGATATAAATTTCCTTTAGGAAAAGAAAGCTAAATATTCAAGTTTGCTTCTTCATACCTTTTTGACAGATGAAAATTTATTCAGAGCAAGGTTATATGAACCTTGACTTACTTTACTTTGATTAGGCCTAAGTAAAGACACACACAAAAAAGCAAAGGACAGACCAAAAATAGAGGTCTGGGCAGCCTTGGGCATGGGAACAGGATTTAACATTGCTCTCCAGAACCTGGAATTTGGAAATTGTGAAAAGAAGTTGAAGCTCATTTCTTCCTTCTACTATTAATAGAAATTCAAATATCCCATAGAGCTCTAACAGTGTTGTGGGCCCTACATGCTTTGCTAACAGACAGACAAATCCACCCTGCTCGGTACCCAGGAATAGTGTAGGATGTCTCCTCTAGAGATGGAATGGGATCACTCCTAAGTTCAGTATTCCTTAAATCTGGTTACAAACTAGACATCTGGAGAAATTTAAAAGCACAGTATACTCATACCTAGATCCCAACCCAGAAAATAATTGTTAATCTTGCATGGGTTTTCAGAACCTTTCCAGGTGATTATAATTTACAGTCCAAAGTAAACCATTATCTTCTATTTCTTTAGACATTCAGAACCCCATTCTTCAGACAGTGACTTGCATATATAAAGTTATTCCAAAATACTATGAAGATATAGAAGAGGAGAAAAAAGAAGAGGGAGAGGAAAAAGATAATGGCAACATCAACTAAAGTGTTATGTGCTTTAAGCTTTGATCTTTTTCACGTACAGAGCACTGCTTTAATCTTAACTCCCTTACTGGGGCTTTTTTATAAACCAGTTCAGTAACAACTCTTTATTTTCATTTGTACTTTCCTAAATACGCCTTAGGTGGAGGGTAGATAAAATAAAGTTTTCTGGTATATTTTTGTGCCAATACAGATACATTTTTTCTCTCTGAATACCTGAGAGTATTGACTCTTACTGTGTCAGGACCATGGACAGTGGTGTGTTTGCCTCTACCCAGTATAAAAGGGAGAAGCTGAAGCCAATCAACAGGATGTCAGAGCTTGTAGAAAATTGGTGTATTGCCTACAGCAGTGTTTCTCAAACTTCTCTCATGATGAGAATCACCTGGTGGAGTTGTTATATATATATATATATATATATATATATATATATATATATATATATATATATATATATTTTCCCAAAAATTCTAGTTTAGCACTTCTTAGTTGGGATTCAGGAATCTGTATTTTAACAGCTCCACCAGGTGATTCTCATCATGAGAGAAGTTTGGGAAACACTGGCCTACAGGGAGACCAGGATCCCTGAAACTGTAGATCAGTTCCAAATTTAGAGGTCCCAGGGGAGTTAAGACAACATTTAAATGTCTTGGGGAAAGTAAAACAGCTGTTGAAATTCAACAGCAAGTCCAAATACTCTGGTTGAGCAAATTAAAAGATCCTGAGAACACCTGGAAAGACAATATCCTTGTGCTAACTTAGTGCTTGTTCTGGGTCAGTCTTTAGAGATATGACTAAATATACTGAGAACCTTGTATGTTCTCTTAAACCAAGGCTAAGTCCTGACAGAAAGTAGTTTTGTATCTAAATCAGGTTTGTGAATTAGGGATGACTGATAAAGAAACTAACAATAATCAAAAAAGCAAAGCAAAAAAAAAATCAGATAAGAAGAAACCAGAATGAGAGTTCCTCAAAAATAAAAGTAAAAATGATGAGCTGTCAATGGAAGAGAAACTTTCCACTTGATGTAGAGAGGGGGGGGGAGTCATTAGTGATTGGATGTTAATATAGAAAATTTTCCTCTTCATGGTCCCTTTCCTCTGGTTCTTGCCCAATGTGTTAACAAAAAAAAAGGAAAGCTCTAAATAGGGTGTAGTTAAGACCCAGAAAGAATCACAACTATAACAGTCAGCAGTCACAGAAACAAGCTCCTACACTTCAGCTTGATTTATAGAAAGAAACAGATAAGGAAGAAAAAAAAAGTTGCTTCAAAAACAAGTAGTTCTTAGTAACAAACATTATTGAAAAGAAAGTTATATCTAATTATCTACTTTAAATATTGTACCAATTGGATATCATCTTTTTTAAAATATTGTGATGATTATTATTAATTAATACTTAGTGCCAAGTCTTATTTGTTCTTTTATAAACATGTCTGCTCATAAAAGTATGACTCTTTCCCAAAGCTAACAATCTATGTAGAGCATAAAACAATACAAATCCCTCTGTTAGCTAAGGTCTGAGAACAAGGGCAGAACCCTTCAATTCCAAGGAACATACTTACTTCCTAACCCTCTCCAAACCAAACTAATATCTTCAGCTAGTGAAAAAAGTTAGTCCTGTGCACTTCAATTCACCTTTCTTCAGCAGATCAAACTGATGAACACATGCATTTAATTTCTCTTTTCTCAATTATCTCAGAATATTTTGTGAATCCCCAGTAAGTGCTCAGCATAGTTTTGGTACCTTGATCAGCTTTTTGACATCATTCATATCAGAAAGACAGATGAAGATTACAGAAGACATGAGAACAATAAAGCTTTGAGCTGCCTTGGAGTTCTGTGCTCATTCCTTTTCTCTCTGGTTTCAATACACTGACTCTGGGTAACATGGTCTAATCCTTGGCTTTAACAGTCATATCTGTAAAGATGACAGTAAGGCCTTCAATGCAAACACAAATATCCCTCTGGGACCTGACCCTTAAGTCTCCACTCAGATTTCAGGCACTTAAAACTCAATATGTCCAAAACTGAACTCATTATCATTACCTCCAAACCTTATCTTCCTTCTCTTTATATTTACTATTTTATTAACCAACAGCACTCACTCTCTACCTACTTGTCCACACTAAAAACACAGAGTTGACCTGAACTCATCCCCTTATTTCACATTCAATTCTAACCTGTCAACAAACATGTTGACTTTGATCTTGATGTGTCTGCAATCTGCCCACTTCTGCTTCTGTTTCCCTTGATTAAAGTCATGGTCATCCAGCTGAATGTCCACTAGAAACTTTTAACTGGTTTCCCTATAAACTCATTCATCACAGAGCCACTAGGTCAAGTAGGGGTTCTCAAACATTTTTGTGCCAGAGGTCTCTTTGGGCAATCTGGTGAAATCTATGAACCTCTTCTTAGAATAATTTTTTTTTAATTAATGCAATAAAAATATGGGATTACAAAGGAAACCATTGGGACCAATCTCCCATTAAGAAATTTCTCTGAAACATGAACACAATCATGTCACTTCCCTGGCATATGGGATACCAACCACAGCTGTTTCTCTATATGCCACCTTAACCTTTTCTTCCCCACCTAACTTCACCCACATTGAAGTCACTCTCAAAGTCATCATACTATCTCATTTTGAGCCTTTGCATATGCTGGCCTCTCTGGCAAAAATAACCTTCTTTACCTGCTCTTATATTTTTCCTTCAAGATTCACTCATATTTTTCCTTCAAGATTCACTCAATCCGCCGAAACCGGTTTGACTCAGTGGAGAGCATCAGCCTACGGACTGAAAGGTCCCAGGTTTGATTCTGGTCAAGGGCATGTACCTTGGTTGCGGCACATCCACAGTAGGGGATGTGCAACAGGCAGCTGATCAATGACTCTCTCTCATTGATGTTTCTAATTCTCTATCCCTCTCCCTTCCTCTCTGTAAAAAAAAATCAATAAAATATATATTATAAAAAAAAAAAAAGATTCACTCAATCCCGGTACCATCTCACTCAGGTAGCCCTCTCCCCATAATCCTGCACGTGCTCCCACTGCACCTGACATAATATTTATCACATCCTACTACTGGATTCCTTTGTTAGGTTTTTAGTGCCTTTATGATAGAGCCCATTGTTATTTTGTACCTACATCCTTTGCAGAGTGCCAAGTACAGAGCAAACTCTCAATACGTGTGTGCTTCATCCATAAATGGATGAATGCATGTACTCCCTATCTCATTTGCTCAAAGGACTCCTCACACTCCAAAGACATCACCTGAGATGTCATGAACTGCTTTCCAATTTCAAAAGTGGGCAAAAATAAAAAGAAATAATCTGAAATTTCTATAACTCTGTAAGGGAAAAATAAATTATCAGATTAGCATTTGTAAAACAATAGCCAAAAATATCAATACGGAATCATTTGGGAGGGGGGTAATGTACCACCACCACCACCTTGGAAAGCAAAGTTAGTCTCACACTTACTTCAGCTAATCTTGAATGCTTGTGGACCACCTCTGTTTTATTCATTGGCGTGAGCTGCTGCAAAACACTTCGGCTATTTGTCAAAGCCCGTGTCAATCGAGCAAATTTGGTCCAACCTTAAAAGTAAGAAGAGAAAGTCTCATTTTTTCACACAAAATCAACATTCTTGATAATATTCAAATGATCTCAGAAATAACATAACTTCCAAAACTAATTATAAGTATCAACCAAAAGTATTTTATTTATATATAGACTCATCTATATTTCAATTGTGGCTGTAAAATAATAAGTAATTTTTATGTGTGACTTTTGTTTTTAGCTCATATCTATAATACAGTTCCAGTAGCCAACATGGCTATCTATCCACAAAGTTCTGTACCCCCATTGCATTGTATAGGGTTGGTTTTGCTTTGTTGGGAAAAAGTGACAAGAATGTCCTTAGATAATAGTAACTATATGTTGGCAAAATATGTATTCAAATATTTCCTTGTTGTCACTTCTCTTTCTTATATCAACTGAACACTATAATTGCACTGAATATTTTTAGAAACTTCTTATACTTATTGAACTTTCATATTTCTAAGTCAGGTGATGGTATATCCCTTGGTACATCTGAGTACTGGATTAAAAGACCAGTCTATTTTCATACCCTGTGTATAATGTTTAACCAGAAAATATTTTGGAAAAAATATTGAGGATCTACTGAAGGAATAAGTTCAATGACACATAGAAGAATACAAATTATCAAATGGTATGTGTTCCCCCATTTCCTAGGTTTAGGGATTTTATTGTAATCCTCATTCTTAAATAGTCATCATTTTTCTCCAGACCCCTTTACCGGCTGCCTTGCCTCACTTTCAGCAGATTACCTCACCAAATAGGTTACCGAGGAAACAAAAGCTATAAGAAACATGACAGTTTCAGTTCATGTTCCAGTTCCTTCCATCCCTCCACCTCTACACCCACCCATATGACACTGATTCTTGCCTAAACTTTATCATCTCAGAAAATTAGGTATTTGCTCGTTCCTGATCATTCATATGTTCTATTCATGTATATATTAGTGGTTTCTAGATTTTTCACTATCATGAACAATGTCTCAGTAAATTTCCTTAGGCCTATCCTTCTGTGCTCTTGGACACATCTAGAAGTGCCTCTGTTATTAGCTAAATTAGTTCATTTGATCTGTCACCAACCCCCACTGTACAAACTTTGAAAAAGTTGAGCAGCCACACTGTCTAGGTCAGAGGAAAAAAACAACACATCAGCAGTTCTAACTTCTCCCAGAGATACATTTACTGATCTCACCTTTACAGAGACCTAACTGTGTGACTGATTATTCAGCACAGTTCGCTGATGTTACTTAGACGTGGTCGATACAGGATAATGTGAACAGACAGATGAATATGAAGAGCCTAATAGTTGCTCTGTAAGTTGTTCATGGTATTATGAGAACATTTGTTCTCCTAAAAGCTCAGGATGCCAACTCCTTCTTAATAAAACATTAGTTTAGCTCTATTGGGTTGCAATTAACCTCTATGTCATGGACTGCTTAATCTTAAAAATAAAAGGAAGTTGCAGAGGCAGTTAAAACAATCTACTGGACTGCAACATAAGATTATAATCCATAAGAAAAAAAGCTTAGGTAAACAATTATACTCTTGGCCAAAGAGACTACATGGTATAATTACTCATATTTCATCTGTTGTTTCCTCTCTAAAGAAAATCATTGGCTTCCCACAGGGGAAAGTCGCTATTTGTTCCCTTATTTTCATCCTACAGAAAATTTTTTGTCTCAATTATTGGCATTATTGGCACAAAGATGCCATAACTATTTGGCACAGGACATTTCACACTGTAAGTCTCTTGGCAATTTTGGAATCTGTTTGAAAATACTATACAGTATAAATGGGCAGAGATTTGAGCCATCTTTTTTAGAACACATATGGCTAATCAACAGAATGGATTTCTTGGCTGTAATTTTTTCCCTTTTGTATTATTATAAATGATGTATTGAGTAACACTGACTGATTACCTGAGCAACAGTTCCAAGACCTCAATACCAGGAACAAAAAATAACAAAAACACTTTGCCCCCTTGTATTATTTTCAGTAAATTCTGTTGATTCAAAAGAGTACAATTCTGTCAGAACCAATGTATTCTCAACTTGTGTTTTTTTGTTGTTGTTGTTTTTGGTTTGGGTTTGTTTTTGTTGTTTTGTTCTGTTTTGTTTGTTAAAAAGAAGAGCAAAAGGGGATGCCATAAATGTGAAAATTTTGTAGGGAAAAATGGACATCTTTAAACCCAAACAATAAGTTTCCACTGGAAAGAATGAGTCAGCACTGTGCCATAGAGATGACATGGGATTGGAAATCAGTCAGACTTTTGGTGCCAGGACCTTCAACAGTAAAATGAGATAAGAGCAGTAGTTTCCAGAATTATAGAAATGCGTGATAAAAACTATGAAGTTCCTGCCACATGTTAACTGCTTCATCCAAACTGCTTTCCTTCCCTTCCAATGGTTTTTGCTACCATCCATCACAGTATAAAATCAAAGGTATTGCTGACATCACCCAGTGCCGTTCATTTTAAAGGCAAAAATCAACCGAGCATGAAGTTTTGGTGATCATAAAATTCATTTTGAAGAAGAACTACACTCAAATTAGTTGGCTGCTGTCAGTTTACAGTTACTATCCCAGACATATTGAGAAATAAAATTCAGATTTAGCCAGTGTACTCAAGTCTTTCAGCCATAAGTTTCTTGGTAAAAAAAATATATATATCAGAAGTATAAGATTGATGTCAATCCAATCAATTTTGGCAAAACCTCAAGACTTGGGCCCTTTTTCCAATCACTGGCACCTTTTCACAATAAGAAGGTAAAACGTCCTTGCTCTGGGATTTAAAATTGCATTCTGGTTTGCCAGCATGTGGATTCACATGTCTTTCTGCATCCCAAAACACTGTTTCCTATATCCAAGGCAAATGCTCTCAACTATTCTCTTGCAAGCATTCTCAATTCCCTGACCTTCTGATCCTGTTCCCTGATCCCTGAGCTTCCTAATTCTTTTTCCTCTTACTCACCTGACCAAATTCTAACTCTAGTTAAACCCAACTCTTCACCTACTTCTATATCTGTACACCTTTGACCTAACATGGGTGGAGTAAAACACATAACTATGTTCACAGATACTAGTGAAACTCAAGACTACTGGCCTCAAGTAGACATTAATGCTGCTCAGAAAACCTAATAGATTGCTTTTGCCCACTCTCTTCTCCACATGCACAGATTACTATTCATACCTATTCCTCTCTCCTCACACCTTTAACACTTCCTCACCTCCATCCCCATCTTTACTCTCAATTGATAATCATGAATCCTACATTGCTGAGAAAATACAATCAGAAAAAAACTTCCACTTTATACATATGTTTGTCTGTCCCATCTATTAAGATATAAGGGAAGGAATTCTGTATTTCCAGAACCTAGAATAGTGCTTGCCCCATACTGTGTGCTCAACTTGTATTTTGGAGCTTTTTAATGAACAAAATAGATAAAGAAAAGAAAATAGTCCTAGAAGAGTCATGAAAAGGTTCATGTTAACACATTTCGGACCACTAGTTTTATTGCTAGATTTACCCAGTGGGCAGATAAGTTTCTATTGAACAAGTACCAAAAAAACGTTTTACATAAATGCTAAAGGCATTCTTTAAAAATTAAATACCCATTGCATTTTGAAGTTATTTATTACATGTTCTTACAAGTTAATATCTTTTTAAAGAATTCCTGTGATTGGCCACAAGCCTTAGAACAAAAAACACAAGAGTTCTTGTGATTCGTCCACAATATGTTAAGTAACTCTATTTAACCTAAGGCTGAATGAAAAGTAAATCTTATCTTCAACCTCAATTATTTAGCCCCAAATCACTTTGATATTATGGTCTTATCACAAAATCTCATTTTCCAAAAGTTCCATGGTTCCCTTTACTCAACTTAAAAGGTTGAAAGATACAAATTTTTGCCTACATTTAAAAACTTGCTTTCGCATACTGCTAGTTTTATAGCATTGGTAGGATGATTACTTGATGGCATAAATATTTTATCTCTATTGAATCCTTCATATTAAATTTATAACTTGCATGAATAATAGAAAGTTACTCATATACACCATTCATAGTTACCTTGTGCAATAGTTTTTTCAGCAATCTGTTATGTATTTGAAAGGTGTGGCAGAGTCTCAAAATAAACGTCTATTCAAAATAAGCTCTTCCTCTACACTGTAGAGTCTACAGATTCTAGCACTAGAAAGAGATAGTAGGGTCCTTTCCACAATGGAGTCAGATTTTTTTCTATAGAATCTAATTTGCATGTCTAACAAGCTCTTAGTTCAAAATCAAGTGATCTGTGTTATCTGGAGTTTATTCATTTTTTGTAAGAATGGATTATGCATTCTAAGAGATTGTACCTGAAAAAAAAAAAAAAAAAAAAAAAAAAAACTCTGTGATCCTGATGTGCAAATGCAGAGATGAAGGTGGAGGCAGGAAAATGGAGACGCATTAATTTGAAAAATAAAATTCAACCCTTAATATTAATACCCTTTCCCCAATGTCATCAGAAAATGCTTCCAACTTTCATTTTCCATAGATAGGCTACAAAGTTACTGACACCACCTTTAATGTTCAGCAGATCAAAACTGTGAGGAAGTATTATACTCATTTTGGCCAATGTTAGCTGTGCCATGATACCACTTGGTGTAAATTAGAGAAAACAATAGGCATCATCAGTTCTTAGTTGTAGGTTTTTCATAGACATTCCCTTCTCAGGTTGATAAAGTTCCTCTCCATTCCTACTTCACTAAGAGTTTTTATCATGAATGGATGTTAGGTTTTGTTGAATGCTTTTTCTATGCAAACTGAGATGATCATATTATGTTTCTTCTTTAGTCTGTTGATATAGTGAATTAGAATGATTGATTTTTAAATGTTTAAATCAGCTTTGCATATGTGGACTAAACCCCACTTGGTCATTGTGTGTTCTTTTTATTATTATTATTGATTTTATACAGAGAGGAAGAGAGAGGGATAGAGAGTTAGAAACATCGATGAAAGAGAATCATCTATCAGCTGCCTCTTGCACACATCCTACTGGGGATGTGCCCGCAACCAATGTACATGCTCTTGACCGGAATCAAACTCAGGACCTTTCAGTCTGTAGGCTGACGCTCTATCCACTGAGCCAAACCGGTTTTGGCTGTGTGTAATTCTTTTAATACATTGTCGTATTCTGTTTTGTTGAGGATTTTTGCATCTATATCCATGAGAAATATGGGTCTGTAATTTTCCTTTCTTGTAATATCTTTTTCAGAGTTTGGTGTGAGGGTAGTGCTGGCCTCATAGAATGAGAAGAGTTCTTGCTACTTTTATTTTCTGGAAAAGACAATAAATTTCACAGTAACACCATCTGCACCAGGTGTTTTCTTGTTTTGGAAGTTTATTAATTTACTTAATAGCTACAGGACAATTCAGGTTATTGCCCCTAGTGTGAGTTCTGGTAGTTTTTATCTTCAAGGAATTGTCCCATTTTAATTAAATTATCAATGTGGTGGCTGTAGAGTTGTTCAAAGTATTTTTTTAATCTTTATTGCTGAAAGTATTACATATGCACCCATTCTTTCTCATCCTAGCTGGCCCTCCCACACCCATTTTTTTGCAATGCTTTAATATCCATGGCTGGCCCTTTTTTAATTTCTGATATTAGTAATTTGTGCCTTCTCCATTTTTCTTGGTTAGCCTAGCTAGAGGTTCGTTAACTTTAATAACCTCTTCAAAGAATCAACTTTGAATTGTAGTGATTTTATCTAATGTTTTTCTGATTCCTATTTCATTGATTTTTGCTCTAAGATGTATTTACTATCTTCAGCTTGTTTTGACTTAAGTCGCTCTTTTTTGGCTTACTTTTCCAAGGTGGAAGCTTAGGTCATTAATTTTATATCTTTCTACTTTTCTAATATTTGCATATAATGTTATAAATTTCCCTTTAAGCACCACTTTTACTGCATCCCACATATTTAATAAGTTGTATTTTATTTTCCTTTAGTTCATAATATTTTTTCTGATTTATTTTAAGGCTTCTTCTTTGACTCATGGTCTATTTAAAAATGTATTAATTTCCAAACATTTAAAATTTTCTATCTTTCTATTACTGATTTCTTGCTTAATTCTATTGTTGTCTAAGAATATACTTTGTAAGATTTCTATTCTTTTAAATTTATCAAGGTATGTTTTATGGCCAGAATAAGATATACTTAATGAACTTTCTACTTATTCTTGAGAAGAACAGGTATTCTGCTGCTATTGGATGGAGCATTTTGAATTTTCAAATAAACAAATGAGCATTAATTAGAAAATTATTCCATTAGAAGACTATTATATTTTAAATAATTTAAATTTACCCTAAACTTCCTAGACACTGGGTATATGAGAAAAAGCATAGAAACAGGTAGGACAGGTCCAAATGTGAATGCTTTATTCATTCTTCCAAGTGATGACTTAATACACACATTTTCAGAAATTCAAAAGTGAATTGATTTATATCATGCTTTAAATTATTTGCACATTATAAAATTTTCCTTGTAATTTGATGCTAATCAGAAACTGAACAACTATAGTATTATACATGTGATTTTATCTGCAGGAAATAAGTATAATGCAATTTCTCTACAGTTATGATTACAGTTGAAAAGATTAAAGCTTTTATGCCAGTTTTTTAAGATGTAAGAAAAAGCAATGTTTGCCAAATGCAAAAAGGAAGACATTTAATTTTTAGTCTTCTAAGAGATTATTAAAAAATTGCATAAAAATTTTTCCTAAGGGTTTTTAAATTCTTCATTTATGAAATTAGGTAGATCCCATTCTGGCCATAAAACCAATTTCTAATTTAAACATAATTGAAGAGAATAAAACGAAAGCAAAAGGGAGTAAAAGCCCATGCCACTGATGACTGTTTTCTATAGCAGTCTCTCTGAATGTAGTCATTAAGACTCCGATGAGAATGTTTTCATTTTCTAGCCACTCTCTCGATAACAAAATTGTTCTTTACCCAAACTAGTAACATCTACCCAAGAGAATCTACAACAACCCAATTTTTAAAAGGTGAAAAGTAGCCTAATCAGTTTGGCTCAGTGGATAAAGTGTTACCCTCTGGACTGAAGGGTACTGGGTTAGATTCCTGTCTAGGACACATGGGTTGCAGGCTTGATCCCCAGTAGGGAGCATGCAGGAGGCAACTAATCAATGATTCTCTCTCATCATTGATGTTTCTATCTCCCTCCATCTCCCTTCCTCTCTAAAATCAATAAAAACATATTTTTAAAAAAATAAATACAAGGTAAAAAGTAACCTTAAAAAGTCAATTAATAAAACTCTAATCAATTTAGCTAAAATTAATCAATTGTTTCCCAGTAAGATTTCACGCAAGCCATCCCAGAAGTTATAATTTTTCTTTTTAAAACCCACCATGCTATAAGTTGCTGAAACTCCCATTACATCGATCCTAAATTAATAATGTTCTGAGAAATTTCTTCTTTATGTCTTTTTTCAATTCCCCTTATTATAATTTAAGTAACTGTTATCTCAACTTACTTTTGCCATTCAAAAATATGATTGAAAAATTATCCGGACAATGACTAGTACAAATGTGTAAGAATCATGGAGTGACAATTTTGTTTTTGAGTTCAAACAATAGGTTTTTTTAAGATAATAATAACAATAATATATTTAAAAGCCTAATTATTAAGTGTAGTAATTCCTTTGAAAATTACCTTTTGTTGAATCATCCTCTATTGGCTGTTTGAACAATGTAATATCCTTGAAAGTGCATAGAAACAACACCACCTTTTCATGTTCATTTCTTATTGGTGCAATTTGCATATAAAACCAAACAGGAGTTCCTGGGAGAGAAAGAAAGGACAACGGAGTGTGACAAAGCCTCACCAATGACTTGGTCTCCTGCCTTTCCCCGTCCTTCAGCTGCCAACTGCTATGCCAGGAACTAGCACCAATACAATAGTATTTTAATTGCTAAAAACGATTTAAGAAACTTTACTTTTGTATAACGACCATTTGCTCAAAAATTAATAAACATGAGGAAATAACTAAAAAAAAACATATGTATGGAGAAGGCCGGGGGGGGGGGGGGGGAGGGCAGGAGTTGGGTAGAGGGGGGACAAAAAGGGAAAAAATGGGGCACATCTGTAATATTGTCAACAATAAAAATAATTACATTAAATTAAATTTAAATAATTTAAAAAGAATATATGTATATCCCATGGACACAGATAATAATTTGATAAAAGCCAGGCAGGGGAGGGTAGAAATGGGCAAAGAGGGAGAAGAGAACTTTTGCCATAATGTCAACACTAAAAAATTTTTAATAAAATAATTATTATAATAATAATAATAAATTTATAAACATATTTTTGACACAAAATATCAAAACTTGAAAGCAAAGCCAAGGGTGTCTTTTCACAATGTGGGAGCACAAAGGCAGTCTCGCTACTAAAGTGACAGGAGCATCACCTTTAGGCCTGGCTCTCTACACCACTGCTGCTCTGACCAGCTTTCTTTAAAGCAGTGGTTCTCAACCTTTCTAATTCCACAATCCTTTAATACAGTTCCTCATGTCACCACCCACAGGTTAAGAACCGTTGCTGTAGAGCCTAAGACCATCGGAAAACTCAGATATTTACAAAACGATTCATAATAGTAGCAAAATTACAGTTATGAAGTAGCAACGAAAATAATTTTATGGTTGGGGGTCACCACAACATGAGGAACCGTATTAAAGGGTCGCAGCATTAGGAAGGTTTAGAGAGTCTCACCACGGGTGCCCACTCCCAAGGGCTTATCCTTGTCACTTTGAGAAGTGCTTCCACTTGACTTCAACAGTCATTCCTGATGCTCTGGTCAGTATTCCTCTGGGAGGAACACTGAAATGCTGGGGTAGACTTCTAAGATAGCTCTATGGCTTTGACTATACCCCCACATCAGAAACATGAAGGCTTGTGTACGCAGAGCTCTACCTGACACCTTTAAAACGACGTTAAAGGGGGAAAAGTTGTCCCCAGCCCTTGAGAACCTCAGGTGTCTTTATGAGCTACTGTTTCCTCCCTCCCTCCCTCAAAGCAGGAGGCTGGACTCTCACCAGGTTGTTCCAACAACAATGGCCCTTGAAGACTACAGAGGCCAGTTTCATGGCTTAAGTTCTGGACAAATCAGAACTGGCATTATGTCAAATAAATATCTGAAGACAAGAGAAAGAACTTCAAAGGAGTAATTATCCATTAAACAATAAAACACTGGAGCAATGTTCCATCAGAATCAAAAAGACTTATTTTCCATCATGTTTTCTCTAAGCCACAATGCAGTAAAGCCTCTGCAAATGCTCTCCCTTAAAGACATGAAAGTACTTTGAGGTGAAGTACAGGTGAACTGTGCAGCTATAAATAGTCTCTAGGTGAGACTTGCTAGCCTGTTAGTAGCTACCAATGAAAACCAAATAACAAGCACCAGCATACTGTGGCAAAAAAAAAAAAAAAAAAAAAAAAAAAAGGAAGGAAGGAAGGAAGAAATCAACTACATAATAATGTCACCATAAAGGGGAGTTTGCCATTTAGACAAGAAGTTCAAGAAGTCAGAGAATTTCCCCAGCTGGTTAGAGTGTTGGCCCCATGGACTGAAGCATCCCAGGTTTAAACGCCATCAGGCATAGACCTCAGTTACAGGCTCAGTTGGGGGCTCCTGCAGAAAGGAAGCAAGCAATCAGTGTATCTCACACCCATGTTTCTCTGTCTCTACCCCTCTCTTCCACTCTCTCTAAAAATCAGTGAAGAAAAATATCCTCAGTTGAGAATTAACAAAAAGAAGTCAGAGAATTAGAGAGTCCTATGGAAATGTTCAGTTTAGACAACCAGGTTCTTGGCAACACCAGGAGGCCAATGAAAGGACATGGTCCCTTTTAAAATGACTGCAGGGATCTCAGAAACAATTACGCCATCTTCCAGAGAGGCTTGTTCTTTTGTTTTCAGATTCAGATTTTACACACTGTGTCCGGGAACTGTGAGTGACACGCAGTTTTACAAATCACCAGCCCCAGACACCAGCCCCAAACACCTACAGGCTGTTACAACATAGTGAGCTCGAGGCAGCAGGGTCATAAACAGAGGGAAAGGGGCCTTAAACATAAGCTGTTTTCCAAGTTCTGTTGGAAATCTGAGATGACGTTACAGCTCGTATCTGTGAAAACAGCAACAATTCAAATTGTGGTACAGAGTCGGCTATTTTTTTAAATTGCTTTCAGATATCATGGTGGACTTTTTTCAAGTTGAAGTACAGGTCAGACTTCTGCAAGCAGGCTGAGTACTTGCTGAGTGTCTTTTGAAATACCCATATTCAGAATCTGAGGGGGCATCTGGGAGGGCCAAGCAGAAAGGCCTGCAGCTGCTAGAAGGTCAAGGCAGAGCCCTGGCATTGATTATTTGGAATGAACCCAGATATCACAGTTCTGCCCTTTGTGTAGACAGAAAGAGTCATTTTCAGTCATCGTATCAGAGCCAATGTTTCTTTTCCAACAGTAGAAACAGCCCCCTGCTAATCAGAGCCATGGGCCTAAAGAATAGAAGTTGCAAACTGAAATGTCAATCGTGACACGTGCTAAATAGGGTACCTCCATCTCCTCACTGGCAAAATGGTCTTTAACCTAATTATTTAATGAAAGTAATGGGAGGCATTGGCATTCAAGCATTCCCAAAGCAGTTTGCTACAGACATGTGAATTTTCCTTTTAACATTTTTAAAAGTCACACAAAAGCACTCTTTTCAGTTGATATTCAAAAGCTTCACTAATTATTTACAAGATTTTTTTTAAAGCTGCTTTTAAGTATAGAACTCCATTATAATACATGGATAATATATTTCCTTCTTGTTAAAGGGGGGAAACTCAATGCATATGCTGCACAGATGAGAGGAGCTATAATCTACAGTGCAATGGGCTCTGTATCTTACTAGCTCTAAGCAGAAACCTAAACATACAGATACTTATCTGAAGAGAACCAAACAAGCCTGAACAAAGGTCAGATAATTATTTAAAGCCATTAAAGTAAAGCAAACTATCTAAACCACCTCAAAAGGAGACTTTTGGAAATGCCAAATCTGATTCATTGCTTTTATGATTTAAATGATATAAACAAAGAATTTCCACTGAGGTATTTTTGAGAAACTCAAAAACTATGAACTTGCCTCTGATGTTTTAAAATCAGGCAAAGATTTGTTTATTTTGCTTAAATGCCAGAGTGAGGTAATATGAAATATTCTTAAATTATTTGCTAAACTTGAGATATATCTAAGTCATTTTAGGGATAACAATACTATATGAAAATGAAAGGGGATTGGGGTATAAGAATCTACTATAAATTGTCAATATGTATTTGGACCTGGTTGGAGGAAAAATGAACAGAAAACAACTGACATTTCTCTTGAAGAAGACAGAGCTGATCATTCACAATGGATTGTTTTCTAGGTTACAAGCCAACAGACATTTGGGTATGACTTCAGAGAGAAATACCTCTCAGCCTTGATTCTAAAATGAAATATAAGATGTGAAGACATTCTCTAGGTAAAATCACTAAAGACTAATGTTCCCATTACCAAGTGCACTACTGTGAAGCAATAACTAGGGCTGTGATTGTCCCTATGCTGGTCTGTTAATTAAAAAAAGAGAACCTAAGTTCAGTTCCAAACAGTCCACAGAGAACAAATGTTTGAGGTAAAATGGAGAGAACAAATTATGCTCCACAAGATCCAACAGACACTGAGCGTGGAGCAAGTATTTCCTATTGAAGTTAGAATGTGTCCCATGGTCACTATTTCCAGTGCATCTATTCCACTGCAGATAATAATTGGCTTTGCAATCATCTATTATTAACAATAAATAAATGAACCCATCTTATGAAGTGACTGTTTTAAAACAGAAAGATCAATTTGCAAAAGTAGCAAAAAGGAAAAAAGTAAATAACTATTTAAAGAAAATGAATTAGAAGGGAGTCCTACTCTGGTTTGTTGTTTGTTTTGTTTGTTTGTTTTTTGTTTTTTTGTTTTGTCTTTTTGTTTGTTGTTTTGTGGTGGGGTTTTTTTGTTGTTGTTGTTTGTTTGTTTTGGTTGGCTTCTTCCTTTAAACTCGGGTGGAGAGTCCAGACCATGATGTCTTGTGTGATTAGAGAATGGTTAACTGACCACTCACAAATCTCATCCTAGAGAACAGCTCACAACATATACCAGATGTGAATGGCCTGTTCTACAGGTTTAATAATAGTAATAATAGTTTAAAAAATAAAATAATGACTATTTCCACTAGTTACTCACAAAAGAGCCTGCGTCCAACAAAAGGCTATATTAGCAAAGATTCTCCTCAAGTAAATAGCCTACATTCACATGTTACACACACACACACACACACACACACACACACACATATATATATATATATGTAATCACATATCCAATGATGCCAATCAACTTTTTCTTTAACCCTTAGAAGAAATGAATAAATTTATGTCGTTTTAAATTGCTGTCACATAACTATAAAATTGTTGAGTATTAATTACAAAGCATTTTGCCAACACACACACACACACACACACACACACACACACACACACATCCAAAATGCACCATGCTTTTCTTCCATTCTTCAATAGATTTCTTTTCACAGCCAGAATCAATTATTAATTTTCCTATCTAATTTTACTTGCCAAGAGAAGGAACAAAGTTTTATATTCTCTCTACACTATAGCTCAGCTACTACTTACCAAAATATAACATTAATAAAGAGTTGGCGCATCTTCTTGATAATTTAGATACCTACTGTTTTTCTTGTACAGAAGAACTTCAAAGCAGTTTGACTCGTAGTTGTCAAAAGTCTGCCTGACTTTCTCAATGGTCTTCTTGTCAGTCAATTCCCCGTACATAAAACTGGGGGAGAAACAATTCATTTTAGCTTTGTGTTGCTTTTAAAATGCTACATAAAATCATATCATTGTCAAGTTCAGTAGCAAAATTAAGTAATCACATTTAACTAAAAAATATAATGTTGCTCCCACAAAGCGAACTAAAATATTTATACCATATTTTTTGTAATTATTGTTAAACGTACTGCTAAAAGCTAGCATTAGAAGTTATTTCAAACTTACAGAAAGAGAGCAAAAAGCAATCCTCGCTTTACACTGTTCATACATGTACATGTTTTTATTACTATGGTGTAGTTATAAACGTCAGTTTCTCAATAGCACCATTCATATTTCAGTTACTATGGAATATTAACTGAATAATCACATAAAGTTTAGACTTTATTGTTAGCTCTTCAGTCTAAAATTCACTGGTGAATAAGAGATACCATATCACAATCATTGACCAATCACCTCGCTTTTTCAAAATCTATCAATATTGGTCACTGTGCATCTATTACTCAATTTACACACAGAAGCAAAGCACGTTAGATGTGTTGCCTCCTGGTTTCTCAGTGATAAATCCACATGACATTTTATGAAAATGAAAATGGAAAACAGGAATTGGCCATCAAAGATTAAAGTCCATCAAGAAGTGAAAATCATAATGCTGAAAGTGAATTTGAATCAAACATAAACAAAGTTAGAAAAGAAAAAGATGAATATGGAGATGTTACATTACTGCCATTGAGAGACTCTAGATATGCAGCCAAAGGAACTGAGTGAAGGTAAACTTACCAACCTAAATCACAAAAGTGATTGGGATGAAAGGATCAAGGGTTCCCAGAGAAAGTGATGCAAATTGAGAAAGGGAGGGAGAGGGGGAGTGAGGGAAGGAGGAACAGAAGGAGGAAGGGAGGGAGGAGGAGGAAGGGAGGGAGGGAGGAAGGGAGGGAGGGAAAGAGGGAGGGAGGGAGGGAGGGAGGGAGGGAGGGAGGGAGGAAGGAAGGAAGGAAGGAAGGAAAACTTCCCATTAAAGGAGCCCAGGAGATAGTTCACAACAGTGATCATGGGAGAAAAAAGGAGTTAAAGTTGCTTCAAACTTTAAAAGGATTTTTAACATTTGCAAAGAGATAGGAAAAAATGCTCTCTTTGTGTCATAAGTTATATTACAAAAAAGCAAGAGACCTTCAACTGATAGGTTTTACAAAGATAAGAAACACTTTAATTTTTAAAGCTTCTAATGTTCTGAATCATGGTATGCTATATATTACTTTTCAATTACTTTCATTTCTATGTATTAATAACCAATAGAAAGAGAGTTTTCAATGTTTTGACACTGTTAAAGGTCATAGAACAATTGTAATTTTTCCATTTAGTATTAAGATAATATTACATCATTTCAGCTTGCATGATCTTTTCTATACTCCAATGTACAATGAAACGTGAAAAGTTCATATCACATATATACTGTCATTTTCATCGTTTATGAGGATTTTTTTAAATACAACTATGGCTAATTGGAGGAAAACTGAGGGAGGCATAAATTGTTACTATAGTTTAAAAAAAACAACAACATAGAAAACAGATTAGAGAGTGAACTTCTATATCCCACAAAATTGTCCTAATATTAAAAATTATCTATTTTTCTAAAAGAAATTCACCAAGAGTTTGATAATCTACAAAACAAAATTTAGTCAAGGACTACACACCTCTAAAACTCTGTTCCCAGCGCTTTCCCAACAGGAAAGAATCTGTGAGCTCCTATTTAATACCTTGAATATATTTTTGAAAATTCAAGTCTACCTTTATGGTTGTTTTTGTTCCAGTTTTCAATGACTTAGCCTGTTGGCTACAGGCAAATCCAAGTGTAGTAGGCCTGAAGAGTATACAATTTTAGGGCCTCCTTTAAGGAAAGGAAAAAACTATATAGAATAAAATTAGGCACAGAACCTTAAAAAACACCCACTCACGTGAGGGGTCCCTGAAGTTTAAGATTCATTATTCTCATGGGAAAACTGCCCCTGAAAATATCAACATGGGAAATTTACAACTTGAAAAGCAATTTATTAGCAAGATCCATCCACGACTAGCATGATTAAATAGCAATGCCATACATCTAGAAATTAGAAGTAACTCAGGCCAATCTCATGGTAACACTAACCTACACAACTAGAATTTTAGAAACTAAGAAATGAAAGGAAGTAGATGTAGCAGACCAAAAAAATTGCCCTGACAATTTTCATCCTGCACTTTCAATTATAATATTTCTATCTTTTATTTTAAAAAGATATTTTAGTGTTTTATGATACTAAAATAAATGAGAATCTCATAATAAAATATCAGACTCTAACCCCTTAATCGCACAGCTGAACTAGCAAAGGAAATTTCAATGCCTGCCTGTAAGATGGCATTGAAAAGCCACTGTTCCTATCTGAAGGCTGGGTTTCAGCTCCTGTGTGTCTTATGAAAATCTCCTGAAGGCATTATAATTAAATTAGAATGCTTTATAATTAAATTAAAAAGTCCCACTTTCCAAAAATAAAATATTAGTTTAATACTGTCAATAATATTTTTACAAACAGGTGAAACTTTCAATCAACCAGTATTTTTAATAATGAAAATAACAGATTATTTTTAATCTAAAACTCTTTACTATAATAAAGACAAAGAGAACAAAAAATAAGATAAGGGTAATTAAGCTAACTAAATGTTTGTGGTCTTAATAAACATAAAAGAAAACCATTTTACTCCTATTAGTAAATGTCAGAGTTCTATAGTTCAATAAACCAAAACACAACATTCACAACTGGCCATCAGAAAAACATGGAGGGAAAAGGCATCTATAATATAATAAGCAAATATGATAATAATTTGAAAAATAAACTCTAAGAGGATTGAAAATTAAGTTACAACTTAAAAAAACACATTGTTTTGAAAATTGATGTAATAATACCACTTACAACACACATTTGATTCAGCTAAAAATCTGAAGAGAAAATGCAAACCCACAACTTTTCAAGTAAACTATGAAAATTCCATAATATATTCTTCATCACTTTAGCTCTCCCAGTGCTAAAATCTCCTATCCTAAGAATGCAAAGGCATTTTAAGAAAACAATCCCACACTATTACAATCTGAATACTTTTTTTGAAAGTCTTTTGTCTCTTACATTGTTCCACTGATGTTATAAATGATTCCTACAACTGCACTGTTTATTTTATTGGAGGGGAAAATTCAATGCACAGAAGCGATCTATCTCTGCTATAACACTGAGCAGTAGTGATATAATAGAACCACTGCACTTGGAGGACTATGATTTATAAGGGATGGAACCCCTCGTGACTCTTCGTTTCCTCATCAGTAAAATGATGACATTAACATAACTCAGAGAGTGAGGTCTAAAAGCATAATGCACATGAAGTTGCCATTAGAATGTGTGGCACAGTGGCTGAGTGATTCCTAGGATGCTTCTAATAGGTAGGGTTAGAAGGCCACTCAAGCCCCAACCCCACACCCTTGTGTCCCTACAATTCTAGAATGGGGTTGGGCCACACCTGCTAATGGGCAAGGTCACTGAGTCTTAAAGGGAATGCTCATCATTTTGTATCTTCTCTCTCTCTCTCTCTCTCTCTCTCTCTCTCTCTCTCTCTCTCTCTCTCTCTCTCTCTCTCTCTCTCTCTCTTTTTCTAACCCATGAGGCTGAAACTCACCCAGGACCTGCTCCTGGATTATCTGGCCACTTCTCTTGCCACACAAATAAGTGATGGTAAGATATGGTCTTGAAAGTAAGGAAGAAATTTTCCTCTGGCCTGACCTAAGCCATATCCAGGCTGCCTAAGCAGCTGGCAATGTATCTTTTATGTATATTCTGTCCTCGGAAACTTCTGGGGACAGGTGACTTTGGTTTACAGCAGGATTTACTAATTATTCTTGGGTCCCTTGTTCTGCCACCAAAATCTCACAAACAAGCCTCATTATGAGAACTCACAGTAAGAATGGCTATAATGTTAATAGACTTTCAAGGGACAAAGGAACTTCCAAACTAAAAAAGAATGTACAACCTAATCATGAGTTCTGCCATCTAGCTCCATCTGTTAATGACTGAACAATGTTCCTGAACTAAAACACCACATTCAGTCACCACTAGATAATAACATTATCTACAGTGTTTAGTCCACAGGCTAGCAAATGCTTCATCACAGAAACCACACAGATTGACTTAATGCAGTTAGCTGGCAAATGTGGTCCTCCGCTCGGAACCAGCCACAACAGTGAAATAATCATCCAGTTAATGGGAGGATGGGCTGAGATCTATGGCCCAAGGGTCAAAAAGAAGCCTGCAAGGGAGAGTAGAAGGAGAATTTAGAAACAAATAAGAACACGTCTTTCCAAATCTGAAAGAGGTGATTTTGGAATAAACCAAAGCATTATTTTATATCATAGATTGTAACCAAAATGCTTCACAGCCCATTAAGTTTTATGGGTTTAGAAGGATTCAGATAGTTGTAAAGAGTCGTCCGTGACATGTAATTGAGGGAAGCTAGGGATAGCCCTGGACATCTCCAACCCTTGGAGCATGAGCATCACTGAAGCACCTGGCTCTCCAACACTTCCCCTCAGTGCCTACTGTGCAAAGCAGAGCCCGCAGCCAAATGGAACCAGACTGACTGAGATCCATCATGTGTAATGTGCTCACCTTGGCTGAGATAATCCCGTGTTAATAAAACCACTTGTGAAGTGCATCCAATAAAGTGTCTCTTACTACCTCTGCTTCTCTCTCTAATTTGATGCATGGACAAAGGAGTATTAATGGGTCCTTCAAGGGGAAAAGAAATAATTTTGAAAGCATCTATCTACTCCAATCCTCCCCACCTACATGATTGCTCTTCTCACCCCTCCATCCTAAAAACAACAACAGAATGGGCCTTTAAGGTTTCAGGTAGATAAAAGATTAAAGTGCTGATGTAGTTTGTACCTAACCTGCGGTAGTGTGTCTCGAATGTCAGGGTTTTCTAGTAGTCATGAGGTAAGATTGTATGCTTTAGATCCATTCCCACAAAACCTACAATCTCCATTATACATGCAATATGTTTTGTGTCCTTCAATATACGTCCAAATAATCCAAAGGCTTAAAGTATAATTATTAGACAATAAAATGGGCTAGACTTGAAATTCTAGGAACCCTAAAGTGTCATGAGAATTTTTTTTAATCTAGTCATGAGACAGTACATAGAATACATCATATTTATTAAAATAGAAATTTAGATACTACTATGAAGTACAAGGATGTAGGGAAACTGGAACCCTCACTCACAGCTGGGGAGTTTGGAAACAGAAGACCACTTGACAGCAATATGAGAGCAATTAATGTACAAATCCTTATATAGTCTACTATCCAGCAATCCTATTTCTGGACACAGACAGAAAACTTCTCACACGGGCCACAAGAAGATGTGTATGAGGATGTTTATCTCCAAGTTGTTTGAGGTAGCAAAATGTCAGAAGTTGGACTAATACAATAGATAAATAAAATGAAGGCTATGAAGGCACAGAAGCACTACACAATAAACGTAATGAAATAGGATATCATATACAGCAACATTTAAAAAATCTCAAAAACACCCTTGCCAACCTGTCTCAGTGATTAGAGTGTCAGCGCACAAACCTAAGGATCACAGGATCAATTCCCAGTAAAGAGCACATCTCTCTCACATCAATATTTTGCGCTCTCTCTAGCTCTCTCCCTTGCCCCACTCCCTCCCACTCTCTCTAAAAATCAATGGAAAAAATATCCTCACTCTTCCACGGAGGATAAAAAAACAACATAATGTTGTGTGAAAAAAGTAAGAAATTATAAATCTTATTGCACAGTATGAATTGCATGGGTCTTAAAAGCAAGCTCAAAGCAACAATATTTAAGAATACACATATTTAATTAACAAATCGGAGACAGATTAGAAAGGCATACAATAAACACACTTTGAATAACTGTAGAAGAGGACAAGAGATGTGATCAAAGGAAAAAAATAAAAGAAATTTTAATAAAATAGAGAACTTTCCAGAGAGAGTATAATGATAACATTGAGACTAACTGAAGAGTATGTTTAATTAGATTTTGTGCACCTGGTCTAATAGGGGAAGGGTTGGAAAGAAAAAAAATAAGAAAACAAAAATAATACATATTAGCCTCTTCATAAAAATACAAATTGCTATTTTTATTTTCCCATAAAACAATTCATATTTGAACAATTAAAAATAAAAAAGGAATATTTACCCAGTTGTTACTTTAATCATATTGACTTTAATTCACCTAATGCAAGTTGTATATAGAGATGATTATTTTCTTTCCAGAATATAAAGTGTCATTTTTTTCACACAAACTGATACTCACTGATTTTGTAGTTTCTTATTCTTATATCATTGATAATGATAATCAATAAAATTCTTTGAATTATTTACAAGGCTCTCCTTATTGTCAAATGATTTATCTCTATATTCAATCAGAATTCAGTGATTCCAAAACTCTACAATAACTTTTAGCCATTAACACTGTAGTTCTAAACATGTATTTAATTTTCTTCTTTCCTCCTTCTGTTTCCTCTGTCTCATATTCAAAGTCTTTCATAGATTTACACAGGGAATAAAAAATAAAAAGCTATATGGCCTGGCCAGTGTTGCTCAGTGGTTGAGTTTTGACCCATGAACCAGGAGGTCATGGTTTGATTCCTGGTCAGGTCATATGCCCAGGTTTCAGGCTCAATTCCCAGTAGGGAGTATGCAGGAGGCAGTGGATCAGTGTTGATGTTTCTATCACTCTCTCTCCTTCTCCTTTCCTCTCTCTCTCTCTAAAAATCAACAAAAACACATTTTGAAAAATAATATCATTTTTAAAATAGCCTCTAAAAATAGGGAACAGAGCTTGGGGGAGACATCTTCCCACAATGGAAAATGAAAAAGCATAACATAATCCAAAGCTCTCTGCTCCCTTGCCCACCATAAATACCATAACACTTGGGATGAAATACAGTGAATAAAAGCATGTTATATGGAGGCATGTGAGATCTCAGTTAGGGTTTACTGCAAAACAAGACAATCTAATTCAACAATGCTGACACAAAACACTGAGCTGTGTCCTGTAGTGCATGCAAAAGTGAGAAAGATGGAATCCTTATTTTTGACGCATTTATAATCTGGCACTGGTGCTAGGAAGGAAAAAACAACTCTTTTAGGGGATAGAATATGCTAATATTGTATAATATGCCAGCATTTTTCAAATGAACTTTCTGTAGGAAAAATTGCACCTGCCAAAGAAAACAGGCTTGGGGTGGTGTATAAGGGGAAGAGAGGCATATATACGTGGGAAGCATGGACTTCACAATAGATCCACATACAAAAACAAAAACGACAACAAAAGCAATAGCAATAAAAACCCCAGAAGAAAGGAAAGCTAGTTAGTTTAAGGCCAGAAGATAATGCCACATGATGAGCTAATGGGAGTCATAGGAGAGAAACCACATCTTGTTGAGAAAATCATAAATATCTTCAGGTTGAAGATGGCACCTGAAATAGGCATGGGTAAGATGATGGGATGTCCAAAGTCCAAGAAGAGGAAATGGGTATGGGAGCATCTATATTCCCTAGAATTTTTATGGAGCCTGTTCCACAGGTAAGATCTAGCATAAAACTAACCTTTTTCTACCCTAAACCCTTCTAAGGCATAAGGGAGAGAGATATTCCATACAAACCTTAACCTCCCAGAAGTTACAACACACACCTTAACAAAAGTTCTAGCCCAAGAGTTAATATCTACCCAACAGATATAAAGGCACAAAAGGCATCAATGCTACCGAAAGGAGTTTTTCAATAAGGGGCCATAGTTTTTCATCAGCTTGCTTCCCAATTTTGGAGCAGAGAGTGAAGACTCAATGTGAGAATGATTTAATAGAGGAAAAAAAGAAGATGGTTCAACAGATTATTTCTCAAATCTACCTAAGCATCAGAACCATTGGAGCTGACAGTTAAAAGTACTCATCCCTGCCCCCACACACCCACTCTGGCTGATTTTGGTTCAATAGGTTAGAGGTGAGGTATGAGAATCTGTGTTTTGTAAAACCTAAGAGATTCCTATGTGCAGTCAGGTTTGGACTCATGGTATGAAGGAACCCTTGCCTTATGTGAAGATGAAGAATGAACAGGAGTAAGCAAAAGTAGGTTTATGTTTGTAAGAAAGATGGCATGCAGATTATGGTTATTATAATAGTTTATTAACTCAGAAGAATGTCACGACTGTGAGTGAGTGACCCTGCACAAATCCCATAATAAAACTCCACCTAGGTTTTCCCCTCTGAGAAACAAAAGATTTTGAATAGAAAATAATTCAGATCACTCACAGTTCTAAAATAACATAATTTTGGTGCTTAGTTACATGAGATCTTTAAAGAAAAATTAGCTCAAGGGAAAAACATACCATCTCAGTATTGAAATATTGTGAAAAGTTGTCAGTTCTAAATTGGTTCCTTATATAGAATTTCCTTTTCTTTTTTATGCTCTTTTTTTGCAATACACTCTTTAAACTCACAGATATGGCATATCTTGAAAGAATTCTTATAAATATAAATGCCGGAATCTGTTTTTACATAAGTCAAACAAAATAGCAATGGTACAATGTACCAACATTACAAAGTATGTATGATTTATACAGGGCATGAGGACTTTATTTTGATGTTCTTTAGGTGTTCATAAGCCATGTCCTACTTGATTGGAAATTGTTTCCCCTACTTTGTTCAAGACAGTTTTAGCACCCATCAGTGCTTTCCTGAGGTAGAATGCTCCTTTGATCATTCAGCTCTTCAGATAGTTCCTGGCTCATAGTAGGTTGGCAAAAAAATATTTATTGGATGAATTCATACATTCCCAGATATGCAAAAATCCTTCTCTCTGCAAAAATGTTCACCAATGACTCTTAAGCTGTATATTTCTACTGACAATTTAGCTCCTTAATATTTTAACATAATTTTTACCCTACAGTTTTTACAAATGAGTAAACAGGTTTTGGTACCAATTCCAATGTGTGTGGTGGAAGTGGGAGGGTCTCCACACCAACAACAAGCAATTCTGGGGGTCCTATAATTCAACTCAATCACAACACTATCTATCCCGAAATAGCTAGCATCCGATGCCACGAGTTAGGGGTTCAGTTTTAAAAGACAGCCCCCACACACACACTTCAGCTGCCACTAGTCACAAGCCCTGGTTGTCACCTGTACTTCTAAGGACAGGCTATAAATCAGAGGTTCCCACATCTCCTCCTTGGATTTGATTAACTTGCTAGAGCAGCACACAGAGCTCAGAGAAACATTTTACCTATTAGATTACTGGTTTATTTAAAAAGGATACTCTCCGGGCACCTCCAGATATTCACCAATCAAGAAGCTCCGAACCTTGTCTTTTGGCTTTTTATGGAGGCCTCATTACTTAGTCTCCACCAATTAAATCATTGGTCACTGGCATTTGATTATCCTCCAATCCCTCTCTTAGGTGATGGGGGTGGGAATACTAAAAGTTACCTCCCTCTAGTCATGTGTTTGGTTCTCCTGGCAACCAGCCCACAACCTCAGATTGCCTAAGGGCTTTCCAATAGTCACCTTATTAACATAACAAAAGGCACCTTTATTGTTCTTAATGCCAAGCCTTTTAGGAGCTCTGTACCAGGACTTAGGTTGAAGACCAAATGTATATTTATTATAAATTACTATATCCTTGTTTAAATCAGTTTAATCCTTTTAGCCATATTCAACATGAAACCTCAGAAAATGCTCCTGAGCTGTTAGTTCTATTACCTACCTGCAAGTGCTGCTTTTCTGCATGACGTCAGCTCGATGATACCCAGAGAGTTTGCAAAAACCGTCATTACTATAAACTACAGGCCAATCCACAATCTGGGCATTTCCCAGTAAGAAACTTGATTCTAAAGAAGAAAGAAAAAAAAAGGAAGTTTTTAGCTTCATTGAGCAATGTACTTCTTTCTTTCAAGTAACCAAAAACACAAATTCATAAAGATAAGACAAATGCAACTATGGTTTTCTATGGTACAAATAATAAAACCAATATTTGAAACTGACATAACGAGTTTAGCATGATCATCAAATGAGACTGCAATAAGGACACGACCTGTATACAAATTAAAAACTCCACTGAACAGAAAAGCCAGTTTATATAATACCTCTTTATGTTCAAGTATACTCTAAGCTATGAAAACAAAGTATGGTTAATATTAAAAATGTCAATGACTATAATTATACCTAAAAAACAGGTTGATTTATTAAGGTTGGGGCTACAATCATTTCTCCACAAATTGGGAATATTGGACTTGATAACAGAAACAAACTTGGATGATTCCTCCAAAAATTCTATTAATATAATTTTGGACATGATGGAATAAATTCAATTGATCTTAAGAAGTCTAATTTAAAATAACATTGAAGAGTTCTTTTTAAAATAAAATTATTTAAAGATATTTTCAACCATATGGTACACAAAATTTGGAAACTCTCTTTAGTCTAAATAAAGAATCATCTCTGGACTATTTTGCATAAATAAGTGGTTTACTTTATGTATAAAAATTAATACAAAATACCTTTTAATGTCCATCTTGATTAAAAGTCCAATAATCTTAGGCAAAAACTTTAGCAATATTCAGACAACATGATAAATATGTTAGCATTAAAATGAATTAAAATTAAAATAATATTAAGGTATAAAAATGAAAAAAAATATTTTAAAAGCTTACAACTTTTAAAAGGAATACTTCACTTCAAAATACTCAAAATATCTACCTGAAATAAGCTCCTTTGAACTTATATTCAGAGTAGAGTACAAAAAAGATAAATTAACTTATGAGTAGAGAATTTTAAGTTTAAATTCTGATTCACAATTGGTCTTCATAAAAAATCACTATGCAATGCAACATTTACTAAGTAGCTGCTAACTAAAGGGCACTATTCTGGGTCAGATAATTGACTAGAATGGAGATCAACCATTTACTCTCAAAACACTTACATATTCAGTAAGACAATTATATGACAACCAATTACAATTTAGCAGAATAGATGCTAAAACAAGAAGTATATGACAAATATGAAGGAAAGTCTGTCTCAAGGCACTGAAAATCAAACAAAAGTAGGCAGAAACTGAAAAATACAAATCCTTGAATAAAAGGAGATACATTAAATGTGATATTCACTTAACTGTCCATTCCCCTGTGAGCACTTCCCAATCTGTACAGTTCATGAGTGAGAGATTTCAAGTAGAAAAGTCAAAGGTCATAATTTGGGGCTTCCAGAGCAGCTTAAAGTTAAGGAGAATGCTTTGACATAAAGAGTCATAAATCTATACATGAATTTACCTTATATTCTTACCTGTTCATACACAGGATAAGACTACCAAGGAACTCAAATCTAGAAATGACTAGAAGGCCAAGAAGCAGGCAGAAATTTCACAGCCTAACCAAGGCTACAAGACAAATTTCAGAGCTCAAGTCCTATCAAGCTAGAGAAGCTTCGTAAATTCCTCAAGATTTCCATTTAAGCCACAGAAGGCCATGCTTAGGAGTAGGAAAGAAATCCCAGAATAAAGGTCTAAGTAAGATAAAAAAAATATATAGACAAGTGAGTCTTCTCTCTCTCTCTCTCTCTCTCTCTCTCTCTCTCTCTCTCTCTCTCTCTCTCTCTCTCTGTCACACACACACACACACACACACACACACACACACACACACACGGCTGAAATCATAATCAAGGTGACCCACCAAAATTTAACTACCTGCTAAAATAAAATGCACCCCTCTTCAGAGGAAAAATAATTAAAAATCTCTACAATGTGTCAACCCAATGGGCAGTATACAATTAAAAATTATTAGGCATGCAAAAAAATAAAAATTAAAAACCAGAGAACTGTGACAACAATCAAGGGAGAAATAAGCAATAGAGGAGAAAGTTGATACTGGAAACAGAAATAATAAGATCCAGGCATCAGTATTTGTTTTTAAATCTTCTCAGGTGGTTCTTCTGTGTATTCAGGGTGGAGAAGCACCAATTTACTAATGCAACAATTGCTAAATGCTGGCAGCCGCAAGAGAATCTTGGGATGAGTGTCGAAAATACAGATTGCTAAATTCTAATGCAGGCACCCTGAACAGACTCCCTCAAGGTAGAACACAAAAACACAGGCACGGAAAAAAGCCTCATGCTCAGCCAGCTTTGGAAAACTTTAATCTAGTACCTTGCTACTCAAAGTGTGGACTTGTACCGCCTGAGAGTTTATGAGCAATATAGATGTGGGCCCCACCCCAACTTGAATTTAGCAAGACCATCAGGTGACCCTAAGCTCGTGAATGCACTCATCTTGTGCATACTTTCCTTCTTTTTTATAAATGGGAAAGCAGGCCAGAAAAGTTAAAGGAAGGACTCAGGGAACTTGGGAAAAGGGTGTGTGGTGGGGGAAACACACAGAATCAGGCCTCACTGTCTAAGACTTTGTATTGTATCACTCTATATTTCCCAACTGCTGTCTAAGCTTTTGTTTTGCTATAATGTAAAAGAAGCACTTCCTTTTTACGGTGCTCTTCCTTCAGACAATAAGAAAATGACTACATCAACTCAATACCTCTGCATATTAATTCCATTCCTAAAGAAGATCATATGCAAACTGGTTAATAATCCAGCTGATAGAAATTTCTGGAAGTCGAAACCGGTTTGGCTCAGTGGTAGAGCGTAGGTCTGTGGACTGAAAGGTCCCAGGTTCAATTCCGGTCAAGGGCATGTACTTGAGTTGTGGGCACATCCCCAGTAGGGTGTGTGCAAGAGGCAGCTGGTCTATGTTTCTCTCTCTTTGACGTTTCTAGCTCTCTATATCTCTCCTTTCCTCTCTGTAAAAAATCAATAAAATATATATTTTTTTAAATTTCTGGAAGAAGAGAAGTTATAGTCAGTCAATGAAAATAATATGAAAGTATGTGAATGTTTCTTTCCTATCTACAGCAATTCCAATAAAAGAATGTTTTCCTCTGAGCTGCTCCAAAAATACCTGTATCTGACATGATTTGGACAGTTTTGTGGGTTTATTTTTGTTTTGTTTTTATGAAAACTGTGTGTTCTGATCCAGAAGTTTTATGCACGTTGACAATGGAGAGGAAGGTTAAATCTTTCTCCTCCTCCCTTTCCTGCCCCATCTTTGTTATGCAAATGACCCTGGGGATATAATGCAGAACACTAGCACAGAGAAGTTTTAAGATATTTTAAGAAGTGCTAAGACATACAAAAGAATTCTAGAGTGCTGACAAAGAGACATGGAGTGGAGGTGAAGGGAACGAACTTCACAAAAAGACACCGAAACACTAAAACACTTTTGCTCATTTACAGTTTTTCCAAGGTCTAGGGTGGCTTCTGAGGAAAGTCAACTGGATTTTCCCACTGACTGTACTCTCTTAGTCCTACTTTGGGGAAATCATCACTCTTATTCTAAAAACCCTAAAACCCTCCACTGAGCCCCTCCAGCAGAGAGAAATGGAACCCGGCTCAGGGCTATTTCAAGATGTTTACCAGATCCCTGATCCTCCAAGAGGGACTTGAAAGCAGCTGTTGAAGCTCCAAGTTACCCAAACCTCCCCAATCCTCTGATTCAAAAAGCTACAAAATGCATATTCCAAAGATCAAGAAGAGAAATCTGAAGCTTAAAAGCAACACAACAAAATCCACGTAGCAATAATCACTAACATTTTCTACAAGAGATTGGTGGAAGAGGGTATTTCAACAATGCTGACTGTCAAATATTCATTAGAAAGTCAGGTTTCTGTTTGAAATTTTGGCTTTATTTAACATTTGTTTCAAGTCTGAATGGAGCTCTTATTAGAATCTGAAGCTACATTTTCTAATCCACAAGAGCAAACTGACCAAGCTAATTGCCTGGCCTGGGATGTTCTTTTCTGAACGTCTATAAGTAGAACCACCTCTGTATGTGGTCACGCTAAGTTCCCTTGGGTTGCATTTTTTTTTTTTTTTTTTTTTACTTCAAGGGAATAAAAAGGAAGCTAGATAACAAATTGATAATGCAAGTGATCTCTACAAGCATCACTCCAATCTGGCTGTCTTCAGTTCTCCCCATTTTAGGGAAATCTTCCCTACCTCAATCTATCTATCCCCAAATGCTTGAGTAAAAAACCTGAAAGTTATCCTTATACTCCCTCATTCATGACATCCAATATATCACTAAACCCTAATAATTCCAACAGAGAGAGAGAGAGAGGGAGAGAGAGAGAGAGAGAGAGAGAGCGCTAAAACATGTTAGAGGTATCCACTTCTCTTCATCTTTACTGCTACCATCCCAGGCCATGTCACCTTCATCTCTTGCCTGGACTATTGTCATAGTCTCTTAGCTGGTCCCCTAGCATCCCTCCTTCTCCCTCCAATCCAACTTGTGGTTACACAACAGGTAACCCTTGTGGTCAGACTTGACCACTGCCGTGGACTATATTGCAAAATCCTGGCCCTGAAGAGCCAGGCCCCTAATTGACACCCATTCCCTTGCTTCCCATCTTATTCTTCTTTCCCACTGCAATCCAACTGCACTGGCCTTTAAGCTTCACAAACTTAACCAGTCACTTTCTCTCTCCCTCCTTGTTAAATGATCAAATCAAATATAAACATGTTCACATGTTTTCTTTGCCTGAAATCCTCCTCTGCCCACTTACCATCTACATACCTCTTGATTTAAGTCTCAATTTGGCACAACTTCCTTAGAAAGACCTTTCCTGACACCATCTCCCAATCAAAACTAGTCTCTAGTACACTTTTTTTTTTATTAAATTATTCTTTGTGTACATATTTTAACATCCCCCCCTCCCATACACACCCTCTCTCCCCAGAGTTTTATGTCCATTGGCTGTACTTAAATGCATGTATACAAGTCCTT